CCTCAGCTGTTAACAGGATTAGTAATGAAAAGATTTTTTAAAAAATCTTATCAGGGAGTTTGCACAAAAGCTTTTACCAGAGGTGAGCCAATGACAAATTTATTGATTTATAAGGGAATTATATTAGCTGCTTATCTGGTTCTAGTCATTGCTCCCTTTTTTTGTCTTTACAAACTGGGGTGAGATGAGCCAGTGGGTAAGTGACCGGCCCTCTGTAGCCTTTTATTGTGATGTGACCGTACATATTAAGCACCCGTCACAGCTGAACAGCCAGACCGTAAAAGCAAGAAGCAAATGGGGACGCACACTAAAGGAAACGTTTCTTTTAAAACTGTCAAGGACTAAAGTGTCTTGTGTTGCACGTTGAGAAGTTGTCAGCATTTTAAAAACCACACAAATTACTTACTTACATATTTGCTTGAATTGGTTCACTGCCGTTATTTTGCTGTCATGGCAAAAAGTGATCCAAACGTAGTGGAGTAAACTGAGCCAGGTTTGGGTCTGGGGAAACCGCAACAAGGATATTTAAATTGGTAATATCTCATGTTTTAGATTCAGGTTCAGTCAGATGGGCAGGATACCCCTACTTGGTGCAACTTAAACACTGACTTCCTGGGAAAAATCTTTGCCACTGGAAAATTCTTCTTACACCATTCCAACCTGTCCGGCTGCTGATTTTTCATTTATACTGACTCACTTTCTCAGCTTTGTGGCTCTGTGATTTTAGATTCTGAAGGACGATCTCATCCCATCTGTGTTCCAGTTCTGTATTGAATTTCAGTTTCAGGGGCTGTATATATATGGATGTATGAACGTTTTAAAAAACACACATTTACAAATTGAAAGAAGTGTGTTGGAACATAGTATTGTCGTAGTTATAAGGCCTGAGCAAAGTGGAAGGTTAAGGAAGGAAGATAGTGGAAGGACAAAGGAAGGTTTTTGCCACAACTTAACAGGGAAGGTTTTTGTTTACATTGTACTTTTAGAATTTACTCAAATAAATGATAGGAGCTACAATCTTGAGGCCCTGTGACCTCTTGCTTCAAATTTGTGTGCGTGAAAGGCACGCAGGACCTTCTGTGGTTATCTTCCAAATTTGAAAGTGACAGAGTGATGTAGGCCTGCAGGACAGTTGACAAGTTTAATGTGGGCTCAAGAGTGCTGAGTCCTGAAAGTAAAGCATCGGCTACAAGAGAAAAGGTTTAGGTGGGATTAGGTATTCAAACCTCAGGGTAGATTTTTATCAAATGGATTAACTGGAAGAAATGATAATAAGTTAATATAAAGAAATATCAGGGTTAAAAAAAAACAACCTTGATGTGCAATATTTTTAACCTCTTCAGCAGGACGTTTAGGACAATCAATAGGAGCTCAGTTTTATGAGAATTTAGATGGAAGAAAATCATTGGATGGCTTACTGTAGCTCGTCTGCCTCAGCCAACAGCGGATCCTGTTGTACTCCAGCAGGAATTGAAAGCTCTTGGCAAACATATTGATTTTTACATTTATCACCAGGAGCTTGCATAACAGTATAGATTTCCTTTTATAAGCTGGATAACTACAACGACTCGTATGGTTTCTTAAACTTAATGTTCTGTTTTCTGCTCTGAATGTAAGTCTGTAACATTCAGCCGTGATCAAAATATGAAAATTCTTGGAGTTTTACATTCACAAATGGTACGACAGCTATGGTGATTCACCAGTTTATTCTTCATCCACCTCGTTATTCTCACATTTGTGGTTCTGAGTAATAAATAAACTACTGTCGATAAGATTTCTTTTAACTTTAAGCCAAATATTTTAAAAGAGGAGCTGTATTAATGATCTTCTTTGGCACTGTTTAGCCCAGATGATACTTCCTCCATGAAATGCTAAACTAAGGGGGTACATTTGTTGTTTAGTCTTTTTTATAATTCCTACTCATCAACAACTTGATTGCATCGGAATTGCACAGATGTCCCGAATTTGTTTAATAAATTATTTCGGGTCTGTTCTGTACTCTGAAGACCCGTTTTAGCAGAGGTCTGTTGAATGTTTTGAATAAATGCTTCTCGATGACTTCATCCAAATTTATAACCCCGAATTTATATGTCCCTGTTTTAGGCACTGCGGCTTTTCCATTATTTGGAGGAAGTGTGACCGTGAATTGTGTCTGAAAATGTCAGTTAAAATTACTGCAGGAGCAGAGCGCACAGGAAACCGGCTGAAAGTGTTGAGCAGTGATTCATGCTGCAGTTGCTGAATATGCAGCCGGCCTTGGGCTCACCGAGGACTGGTCATCAAATCAAGCCTCATTACAGCAAAGGATGCATAAAGAATCTCATTGATGATTAAGTACGATTAGTGCCAGTTCCTTGTCCTGGGAAAGGCGTCCGGCTAAAGATGACCCACAGGAAAGACCTCCACCTTAAAAAGCTAGAGGAAATGATATCATACTTATCAGTTCTGGTATTAAGAAATATCAGAATGGCAGAACATTTCTGCCATTCGGCACACAAACCCCCGCAGCAGGTCCAACATCCTCCTCCCGGGAGACCCACAGTCAACACCAGCTTTCAGACTTTCTCCCCAGCTCTTGGTATTGATATTTGCTAACAGCCAAAATTACTTTTTGGAAAGAATCATCTGGGATGTTATATAAAATAATAACTGCTGGATCAACTTTACCTTCTGTTTCATTACATTTCAAAATGAAAGTAAGAAAATGGCAAGTTATTTTGGTGGTCACAAACTAGACTATGAAGCTCAGGGCTTGCATTTCATGAACACCAACCACCTACATACCTTCTGAGATTAAAGTATTGGGTAAAAAGGTAAAGAGATGGCGCTTCAAATAGTAATGGCGCAAACAATTTTGATAAGTAGCAGTACTGCATATATAAATAGATGGAACTAAACCTCAACCTACAGATTAAAAATATCTTTATTTAGACTGTCTGGAATGATTGTGGGGCAGTTTTGAATCCCATCTTTTGCCTTCTGTATACCATCCTAAATTGAAATATGACCTAAATTATGCTCCTTTCACTAATGGCAGCTTATGAATAAGAACTAGATTCATATTATTCCTTCACATGCTACAACAATAGTTTCAATATCAGTTGTTTCAAAGGAGTACAACCCCATCTGGTGTTATTCAAATGTCCACCTCTGTGATTGGATCATATTCTCTGCCCACAGTGGCTGCAAACAGCGTTCGTTTTTCTTTTTTTATCTAAAATGAAAATATTTTCGGCCCTGAAGGGAATGTTTTTTTTCCTTCAAGCATTATAGCAGAGAGCACATTTCCGGAGGATGCCGGTTTCTCTCTTCAGCCGAGGACATTTTGTCTGTGGTGCTGAGTTGACCTTATCAGTGGAAGCCTCACCAACACTGTCAATGTCTGAGTGTGCTGTGTCTGCATGTAGGCATGACAGCAGGAGAACAACAATACATTTCATTTATAGTTCTCAACTGAGCAGCAGAGACACTTACCTGTCTTCATTTTTTGGTTCATTTCTTGCGTCTGTGATGGAATTGGATAAATCGAACACACTAGCCCTTTGATTATGGCAAATTTAAGTTGTGCTTCGGCAGTGTGAGTTTCCTCAAAATGACAAGTGAAGAAGTGAACTTGTGTCTCAGTGAAACCTTCGTTCTAAATAACATTTTCAAAAATCAAATTAATCATAATACATCATCACCAAAGCTTTGATTAATGTGGCTGGTAAAAGCGGACATTACTATGAAATGAGACAGACATCTCCCCAGGGTTTTAGCCCCCCCCCCAAAAAAAAAAATCTTGATGAACACTTCCACCTTGAGGTTGTTTGAGGTAAAAACATCTTGTTTTGAAACAGAGTCCTCAAGGTTATTGTACACCTTTGCTTTTTTGATCAAACACAAATGGTTTTACAAATCCTTTTACCTTTTTATTATGACCCAGGTTTCCTGATCTTTTAACGGACTTCACTTCATATTTGACATACAAATTGTTCCTTTTTGTGTCAACATGTATATAAAAAACCTCATCTTGCAATGTTTTCTGAGTAATGACATACTGACATGAAGCCACATAGCTAGAAATGTGTTTTCTAACATCTTGGAAAATTGAAAATGATAAGGACACATTTCAGAATTTGTCCATATGAACATTGTTTCAGGACCTTTTTCAAAACTTTGAAAAATTAGTTAAGGAGACGTTTTAAGGGATCCAACACACGTACATAATATATACATAAATGGATGTTGAGTGAGCTCAAAAACTAGTAGAAAAATAAAATTTTAACAATCTGACTGAAAACCTTCCTGTCAGAAAAAGCACTATGCTTTTGAAAAAAAATGTTGGATTTAGTGGGCCTTATGGACACATTACATCACTAATTCCTGTAATGAATTTTGTATTTGACCACCCGCAGATTATTATCCTTCCCCTCCAGCGCAGTCAAAAGTCAGGGTTAAACACACCGTGCCGTCAGGTTGATGAACAGCCTCGGCAGGACGGGTCAGCGGGGAACTGGCCTCTGGACATGCAGTTGGAGGACTCGGTCCTGCTGCCCTGCTGATGTTTTGTAGTTTTTTTTGGTAGTTTCTCTGCTGCACACTGGGTCTGGGCGACAGCTTACCTCCACAGGCCGAAGCCTGACCTGTAGCTTTATTTTGTGTCACGTTTTAAGCGTAAACACGGAAACAGGCTAACAATGCTATGTTTTGGTTGAAAGTTGACCGTCTGTTGCAGCAGAATTGACATCACTGCAGCTATATGAGAGCAAATCAAAGCAGAGAATAGTCTCTTCTGCTGGCTTTGTGCTTCCAGCTTCCATTTGGCTTTCTTTTTTCCAGTAATTCTGTTTTGCGGGGGTTCAGTATTGAAACAATAAAACTACCAAGGCATGAATCTTGATCTGGTTTAATTATCAATGTATGAAAAGTTATAGATTTTCTTGGGCCTTAAACTAGTTTTTTTTCCATTTCACTTTGTGTGAAATGCATTCTACATCATTTTAATATTCAGAGCCCCTTCAGGATTCTCCGACATTCCATGTTCACGCCGAATGTATTCGTAGTGTAATAATTACCATGACTACTTGTTTAAAACATCACATTTAGGAAATTAAGTAGTAAGAATAATCATTATTTCCCCTTCACTATTGTTAATAAAATAATTCAAGAATTGAACTGGCTTTTTTTAATCAAACATAGCCTCTTTCAAAGAACCAACAGCTTTCAAACCATAAGGCCAACAGTTTTTTACAAGTTGAATTTATTGGAATGTAAAGACATAAGGTATCAAGAATGTCTTTGATTATGTCCATCAAAGAAAGGTTAGTAAACAAATACTTTTTTAATATGAACTCTATATAAAAAAATAGGTCTAAGACAGAAATAGCTACGGCACTGGTTTATGGCTCTCGGGGAAAAAAAATGAGAGCTTTAAAAAAGGCCAAAGGTGCATTTCTCATATGTAACATCGAAGGCAACTACATATTTTTTTTTTTTTTGTTTGATTTCTTTTTTTATAAAGTGTACTTCGTTCAGAAGTGCCACAGAAGGAGGTTTAGGTGCCGCTGGTTTTACTGGTGCTCTTTGAGGAATTCTCTCATGTACTGGGCGAGGGCTTCAGTGTCCTCCACCGTAACGGCGTTGTACAGAGATGCCCGGATTCCTCCGACTGACCTGCGGGGGGAGATGAGATGTCGCGTTACAGCTCCACAAAGGAAGGTCCGAGAACCCCTCTGTGCGTGTGTGAAACGGACCTGTGTCCTTTCAGGGAAATCATTCCACGTTTGGAGGCTCCGTCCAGAAACTTCTTTTCCAGGTCGCCATCTCCTTCTTTCTTCCCGACGCGAAACGGTACGTTCATCCGGCTTCTGCACGCCTCGTCTACGGGACACCTGAGCATGCAGGCACACCCACAGCCTCTCAATCCATTTGGAAATTCACTCCCATTGGCACGGGGAAACACTAAGCTTTCCTGGTACAGCTAAGAGGAAACGGCCTGTCATTCCTTTCAGAAGTTGTGTACTTATTTGCAGCGTGAACTAATCTCAAAACCGTGTTTTTTGTTCGTTAGACATCAGATGAAAATAAAATTATATGAGACAGACTCGGAAATCTGTGTTTTGCAAATCACTTCAGAGGGTGTTTCCACAAGCAAACCCAAAGTTCAATTTAAAAAGCGGGAAGTCCTTAGCACAAAAAATAATAGATTTGCAAGGTAAAGACAAAGAGAATAAATTGTACTTAATCCGTTTGAGGTTTAAATTAGTCAAATGTCACAAAGGACAATGAACAACAAACCTCATGAAAATCAGCAATCCCTGTCACACATGCATCAGGCCTGACCATTTAAATAAAACCCTAGTTTTTGTATCAGGAACAACATTTTTGGGAACTGATTTGAAAATGTTTGGAGACAAACAGCCGGCGCCGACTGGTGGTCCGGCATTAGTCTCCGGTTCGTTCAGACCGAGGCCAATGCCGGTCGTCTGAATCGAGACGAACGACTGTCAGGATTTTCTCCCTTGAACCGGCTGACTTACGCATAAAAGCCGTTGGAGGCGTTGATGATGTCATAGATCATGGAGGATTTCTGCTTGTTGAGCGTCTGCATGGCGGCGCTGCCGCCGTTGTTCTTGATCCACTCCAGAACCAGACACATGATGTAGATGCTGAACTCACCAGGAAAAAAGAAGGACATAAAGAGTCACACACACACACACAATCGAAGTGGTACAAAAATAAATGAATAAATACTGCAGCCGTTTTTGTCTGGGTTGTTTTTTTTTAAGGAACAAACTCATCCTAACTTTGAAGACATTGCAAAACATTTGTCATTTAAAAAGGATGGAATCATTTGATGGGAGTGGAGGCTAATTTCTTTTTAAAACCTCCCCGATTGTCATTTCAGTTTGACTCATTAGTTCATTAACAGTAGAAGCGTTATCAACGGCCGCTGCCATTCAGCCGGAGGGCAAATTCTTTAGGAGAAAAAAAATGCAGATAACAGAAAAACAGGGATCAGCTAAACCTCTTCCAGCCGACTGATAATGGGATACGGAAAAACCCCGGCGGCCTGCTCGGACTGTACCTGAAACAGGGCGGCGTGTTGTACAGGGAGTTCATCTCGGCCTGGACCTTGTAGTCCAGGACGATTGGACACTCCTTCAGAGCGTGGCCCAGCAAGTCCTCCCGCACGATGACCACGGTCACCCCGGCGCAGCCCACGTTCTTCTGCGCCCCGGCGTAGATCAGCCCGAACTGCAGGCCGGGAGGAGGGGGGGCGGGGTTAACTCAGCCCTGACGGGCATCTCCAGGGCCGGCGTCCCCCCCGGTCAGACGGCACTCACCTTGCTCACGTCCACGGGCCGGGACAGGAAATTGGAGGACATGTCGCTGACCAGGACCGGCCCGTTGGTCTCGGGCGTGAAGTTGAACTCCACGCCGTGGACCGTCTCGTTGCAGCAGTAGTACACGTAGGACGCGGAGGGGTTCAGGGTCCAGGTGGAAGGGTCTGGGATTTCTGGAGGAAGCAAGAAATTGCGAGATTAAAGTAACAAAAAATACAAAAAAAACAAAAGAAATTAACATGGCAATGCCTTGTATGCACCACAATAAGAACCCCTGGAGATTGCGCCAACTTGATTAAGAGTCCTACTATCATCAATCAATGTGAGATGAGATAACCCGGATTCTTTCAAAACCCTGAACGCAACAGCATAAAATGTACTATTTAGGTATTTTTGGAAAATTGTGTAACGCTTTCTCGGATTGATGGAATTCCAGCCAGTTAAAGAATAAAATTAGATGACAAAAAGCACTTCAAACGCATGAGTGAACTCGTCTGAAAACCCTCCAATCAGACACAACCATGTGGAAAAGCCCGCTGGCATACCAGAACCTTCCATTAGCAGTCGGGCCCATTGTTCCTTACGCAACCACCCCGACCCGCTGCCAGATTCACACACACACACACACACACACACAGACACACACACACACGATTTGACCCGCAGTCAAAATTGGAACACTCACTGGTGTAAGTGTCCAGCTTCGGGTGGACGACGTTGACCTTCCCGTACTTCTCGGCTTCCTTGGCCGCTTTGGCCGACCAGGTGCCGGTCACCACGTAGTCGGCGCTCCGGCCCTCCCGCAGGCCAATCAGGTTGAGGGGGACGGCGCTGAACTGGCCCGACCCGCCGCCCTGCAGGAACAGCACCCGGTAGTTGTCGGGGATATTCCTGTGGAGAGTGTTAGACACCGACTCAGTCACAGACGTCAGGGAGGGGTCAGCAGAGGGATTTTAGGGGGAAGAAACCAGATTTTAAAAAAACTAGAAATGTGGCAGGAGGACTCACAGCAACTCTCGTAAGAGGCTCTCCGTCTTGTTGATGATGTTGCTGAAGTCGGGCGACCGGTGGCTCATTTCTGGTTGGAACAGAAGCACAGGTTATTGCAGTTCAATCGGACACGAGGGCCTAAAATGCAACGGATCTCTCCGTCCAGCGGCTCTGCTCACCCAGAACGCTGATACCGATGCCGCTGTAGCTGAGGAGCTCCTTCTGGGCTTGAAGCAGCACCTGAAACACATCACGATCTTAAATCCTGTGGTTCCCACAAAAAGCTAATCCTCACACTGGCACCAACATTTTAGATTCGATCTAATTTTGCTCCTTTTCTATTCACCTTTTTCTGCACTAGAATAATTTTTTAAGATGCCATCAAGGAGGACAAAGTTGAAAAATGTTTAATCTGAGAAACATAAAAAGGACTTTTTTGTTGTTTCTGTGAGAAAAAGACTTAAACAGTGAAGAAAACTGACACTTAAGAACACATATGCAGATATTAGAATAGAGTGTATTCTCTTAAAACGATGATGGACAGGGTAAGACTTTACAGCCATTAGTAAGATTTGTGTTCTCATTTCTACCTGAATAATTTACTGGAATTGTTCTTCTATGCAGCGGTTTTCCTAATCCAACAGCTGAACAGCAGATTAAACAGAGCTACCACCTTTTTTCTTTCTTTTTTTGTTGTATTTCCAGTTCAAAACTATAGTTTTCACCAACACCACATGTCAGGTCACCACTAGTTGACCTGTGGCTTTGGGGGACCATGTGATGGATAGTTTGGAGATGGAATCAGGTAAAAGTAGTAAGACACGAGTTCATTATGGGATGCAAGATAAGGGGGAGGGGAGGGGGACCACAGATGGTCCAGCCAGCAGCACATCCCATGATCGTTTTATCCACGTGCCCTTTTGTTAGGAGAGCTGAGGGTCGTTTTGCTGCCATCTAGAGGCCGTTTCTGGAACTGCCGCACCAAGAATCAGGTTTTTCCACATGAATGGATGAGGCTGATGCAACTCAATCTGCAGTTTTCGGTCCGCTGGGAGCCGCTGCCAAACGCTGCCTGCAACCAATTTCCTTTTTTTTTTTCTCTTCAAACTGAATGCCTGACTTAACGAGACGAAAACCAGCAGGTATGAGGATAAGAATGCAACTTCCATCTGCTCCTCAAATTACATCTGAAACAAACCAGGAACTCAGAGGCATTTATTAGAAGTGAATCTTGCACAAATAAAATAAAATAAAACCTCCATGGCAGAGTGATGGAGGTTTTATTTTACGTAAGCGTCCTTTACAACACACTGGAACTTGGCGTGCAGTTTTTTCAGTCAACTGTTTGGGAGCTCTGATTTAATGATTTTTTGCAGCTTTTCTGCAGATTTATCCTCAAAGGAGATGCCAGACTTACAGACTTGGGGAGTTTGGCGGGTCCGGCCCCAAAGTTGACGGTGCGTTTGTCCTCCATGAGTGGGTCCGGGGTTCCTGGTTGCTCCTCTCTCTGTGGGCTGACTGCTCCTCTCTCTATGGGATGGGAGGTATCGTCTCAGCCGCCGTCCAGGCGTGCGTAACGCGTTGCGTTCAGGGATCCTCGTAAAGTTGTAAAGCGTTCTGAAGTCGGTTCGTAACACGCTGTGGTTGTTTGTGAGTTTAGGATTGTCGGTCGTTCTGGTTGTAATGAGGTTTCAGGACTGTTTCTTGTTTAGTTTTTTACACGTCCTGATGTCAAGTGTCACGTCGTTTGAACAGTTTATCAAAAAATACCAACCGAAACTTTGAATTGGGATAGCTTCAAGGAAATGAATCAGATCAAGTGACAATGTCTAGTGGGAAAAAAATAATTAGTCTTAAAAGAGAATTAATCTTGAGGTTTTAATCAGTTTATCTTAAAGCAGACTAATAACAAAAAATTATTACCCCCCAAAAGCTGCTTTTTTGCACGCTGTGTAAGTCTGTGGTTACACTTATACACAAAAAAACCTACCAAAAGCCTTCCCCTGTCTTTAAGATCATCTTTTTACAAGCAACAGCAGCAATAACCTTGAGCAGCAGTTCAACAGAGGAAATACGTGACATGAATAGAATTCAAAGTAAGTCTGTGCTGCAGGAATCAGAGCACTTCAGAAAAGAGGTGCTGGCAACCACCCTTCGAATGGATGTGAATTGGAAAAGATTTTTTTTTTTTTCAGATTTTACCCAAAGCATGGCAGGATGTTCTGCAGATACTGTGTGGAACAGTCCATAATCTGAAAAGGAGAAAATGTAAATTACCCATTTGAAGACTCAAAAACAGGCATGAGATTTCGTCAGGGTTTATTTATAAATGGCCCTATCGTAGTGTTAGTCATGTTTTCCCCAACATGCAAAAAAATCTATATATTATGAAGCCTAGAGAAGGGAAGTACAAGAAAATGTTATTAGGCCACTATAAGAGCAAACAGAGAGCAGGAAAGAAAGGAAAAAAGGGGATTATCGTAGAAAAATAATAAAAGACAAAAGGGCTGGATGAAAATAACTTTCAAACACACAAAAACAAAAACAATCAGCCGCCTGTAGAACTGTAAACTGAGAGCTGCCTTTGGTCTTGCCAGTCCGGAAAAACCTGTTAAAGCTAATTGAATTTTGGCTGCTCGTGACAGTCACGGGGGACGCCAAACTGAGTCACCCTCCTTCAACCCTCGCACGGCACAAGCCCTGCATGTTGGTGCGTGCACGTTGAACCCACTCCTTTTCACACTGTCCCAGAACGGGGAACATGAATGAGAGACATCGTATTTACGGCTTTCTCCCCGACTGTGTGTGCAGCCAGTGCAACACCCCTGTGAGCTGACTTTTTTTCATGGTCAGGAATAAACAACGAGTCCTCACACTTTTAGGACCCGTGGCCTTTAGGACTCAAGTGCATTTCTGCATTTTCTTCTTTGGGTTCCTGGGAATCCATCTGTTTCCCCATTCTCTGCAGCCACATTTCCCACCCAGACTCTCCCCCAAAAATGGCGGGGAAGGCGTGCTTGAAGGCCTTTCAAATTTGCCCATGAATGCATAAACCAGCGGGTTTACAGAGGAGTTGGAGTAAAAACATGCAGTGGCCCCAAATCTTTACCTCTGGCAGTGATGATTTAATGAAGGAACCATCACAAGCAAAGGAAGTGGAAGCAGCCCAGAATGTGTAAAAAAAAAAAAAAAAAGACAGAAACTGTCTGTCTTAATTAGTCGTTCGGTTGAATCCATTACTTGTGTGTTTGCTCTAATCAAGTTGTTCAACAAAGCCAGTGAGCTGTGACAGCTGACTTGTACTGGCTGGTTTTGGAGCCAGAATGAAAATGAAAGCCCAGCAGAGGCAGCTGTGGGTCGGGGTGACTTCACGTCCTGATCTCCCGCCAATTAGGACACAGCAAAAAGTTTTTAAAGCTCGGCGTTACGTCTCTTGCAGCCTTCACCCCCAAAGAAACAAAGCAAATCTTGCCGGTTTCTCACTGAGATGTGCGTGAAGGGTGTTTTACTTCACAGGTTGTATTTCATTTGTTTGCACATGCTTTGCTGCCACCATGGAATAGAACGAATTTGATGAACATATTTTTTCTTGAAGCAAAAGGTAGGTAAAAAAAAAAAATTAAATAATTAAATAAATGAATGAATCAATTAATCAATGAATGAGTGAATATGCGGTATATAGAAGTAAGTAGATTAAACTGTTCCTCAGTCAGGATTAGGAGGCCCCAGTGTGATTATCTATCTTCAGATGTCACATTTTCTTTACTCACTTCCACCAGAAAGCTTGCATGCTGGCTCTCTTTGTCTTATTTCTAATAAACATACTTTTTTCCATATAAAAATGATCAGCCTGCCATAAAATACTCCCGCTGCAGTGTGATTTTATTCTTTTGCTTTCCATTCTGGGGCAATGGCCAGAGCTTCTCATCTGGGGGATCGGTCCTCTTGACGCCAGCTCTTTTTTATGGCACCCACAAACAGCCTCATTTGGAGGTCCACCAAGTCCTCAAAGAAGAACTCGGTGGTCGGCCCTGCGTCAGGGTAAAGCAGCACAGCAATTATACAACGAGTGACCAACACATTGGTCTGACTGTGTGTTTGCTTTTATTTAGCTGTGTTGATTTTGTCCCGTTAGAAGGATGCATTCTTTCTACAACGGCCCAGTTCTTGCTTTAACCTAATATTTTGGGTTTCAATTTTCATATTAAAAAAAATAAACAAGAATAATCTGCTGTGAATTGGCACTAATTTAAACTACTTCAACTGAGGCCAATATTGAACTGGGCAAAAATGCTTCAAAGATCACAGCATCAGAATTTAACGAATAAAAAAAAAACTAAACTTATGAGGACTGATTGTTCACTGACCAGTTTGAGGGAAAGGTTCAAGTGGCCCGTGCGGTTTTTCCCGGCGTGAATGACTGATCCCCGCCCCGAGGACGCAGGGATGCAGCTCCTGGCCAGCAGAGCCGGTGGGGTCAGAGGTCACCATCCCGGAATTGGAGGACTGCAGCTCTCCCTCCTGAGAGGAAGACTCTGTCCCTGCGGCCACCAGGCTCTGGCGCAGATAATCGATCCTCTTAAACCGAGTGCTGGACAGGCGCTTGATGCTTTCAGGGAGCTCCGCTCCGGACCGAAACGTCCCGCGGCCCCTTAAGGCGGAGAGGCTGGCGCCGATGTTTCGGGGGTCAACCGGAGCGGTTTGACAAGGCGGAGGCTTCCACTCATACAAAGCCTTTATCAAGTCCAAAATCTGGGGATACAGACAGAGGGGTTTCACATGGGGAACGGACATCGGGCCGCATTTGTTTTTTATGTTTACACTCATAACTTTTATTAACTGCAGCGTGCTGCATTCAGATGGAGTTCAGCCGACTGAAATCCTTCATGGAGATTTAGTTTTCTCTGCTTGAGAGTAGCCAAAAGAAGCCCACTTACACACTTTATGAGATAATTCAACTCATATTTGCAAACCTGGATCTGTAATCCAATTTTTTTTAAGTTCCATACTAAAAAAAAAACCTCCTTGGATCATTGAAAGCTTAATATCTTCTAGCTGATATTAAATAACCTGAATTGTTAGAACCACAAAGAGACGTAACCCCTGCGCATGCTTTGTTGTTACCTTGGCTTCACAGAGGTCTCTGATTTCAGACCCTCCATCCTTGTTGGGTCTGCTCATGACACACACACACCCCGCACAGCAGCGGGTAAAATGGCTCAGGTGTGTGTTCAGCAAAGCAGCCATGTCAGCTGACCTCCTCCCGGCCCAGAGCTGGCCATTTTGAGCCAGCTATCCTGCATCACAACCACATGGTCTTCACAGACAACTGAGCCATCTCCATGACAACTCTTGATGAAAATTCTAATGCAACTCAGCCATCTCCATGACAACTGGTCAAAGTCCAAAAAAGGCACACACACACGGGGGAACACGAAGCAGCGGAGGCCCGACTCGGTTTAGCTGTTTATTATTTCAAATATACACAGACATATTGCACAGGTTACAAATCTGAAGAGCACACATTCCAAACCGGGTCTGGTTTTTGATCAAGCAAGAAGAACACGACTGTAACTTTGCGCTGTTTTGCGTGAGGGATACACGTTTTGTGCGTGGTTTTTGTCATTTGTGCGTATGAGCTGTTCAAGGAAATTACATTTTTTATATTTACACAAAGAGATAAATATATACTTTTCTTAACTTTACAAACTGATAAAACAGTTTCAAGACACTCAAACTCCTCCACTTTCTGCACACTACTGGTACTCCACAGTGGATGATAGAGCTGCTCAGGACAGTGTTGTTACTGAACAGCCGGTGTTGGCTTGTCTTCACATTTGGACTTTGATAGATGGATTCAAACCTGAAAAGAGGACATTCAGGAGCACCACGCTTCATCCTCTAAGCCCTGGCACCTTAAACTTCATAAACCCTTTGAGCCGGGCCTGAGCATTTTCTCCTGCATAAAGACGTGACTGATTCTTGAAAGCAAAGTGTAAATGAGTAGAATAGAAACCGCTCAACTTAACCAAACGCCTTTGCTTCTACGGTCCTACAGCCGGTTTCGTCTTGTTTTGATGCAGCTTTGAGAATTAAAAAAATAAAGAAGGGTCTGTCTGGATGTATTGGGCTACAGGTTGAATTCAGCTTCTCTAAGAATGAAAATGCATACTTGTATTTCACTGCTTAAGTCTATGTGAATAGTTTGCAGGAAGAAGAGTGACAGGAACTCGGAGATTTCCCCATCTCAAAGATTTCCTCACATCCGAATTCCTCAGCAGACGTCTCTCAGTCCTCTCAGATGAGACTGGGTTTGGAGCGGGGCGGCTGCGGTGGGACGGAGGCTCCGGGGGGGCTTACATGTTGAAGCTCTCTCCACAGCCACATGTGCCCTTGATGTTGGGGTTGTTAAAGACAAATTCACTGGACAGCATTGACTCCACAAAGTCCATCTCAGTTCCCAGCAGGGTCAGCTGAGCCTTCTTCTCTATGAACACTCTCACTCCTGGAAAAATGAAAAAGGTAAATAGGTAAGAATCTAAAACCTTTTAAAACAATTCACACCTTCATCACATCACATCAGTGAAGAAATTGATGCACAAGACTGAATTCAACTTTTATAAAAGGTATAAAAGTTTGTTCCTAGATATAACCAGTGAGAAAAGTAAAAAAAACAACATAAGTAAGGTCCATGATTTAGATTTGATTATTGTAAAGAAGAGTCTCAAGGATCTGGCCAGCTGTGATGGGGACAGAGTAGGAGGTTTGACCCCAGTGGATTCTAACTGCTAGCATTTTTTATTGCTGTTTTTTTAATCTTTATTAAGATTATTTACTTAGCTCATTAAGGTCTTTCTGAAAGTGATACGAAAAAAGTCCTTATATCATCAATCTTTTGCAGATGTAACTGTAAAGGTTACAACAGAGCTTTGAGCATTTTAAATGTTTTTTTAAACCAGATAACCACTGATAACATGTATTGGTTGAAGTTGCTTCACAATATAAACCCCAGAGCCTAATCAGTGGGAAACAACGCAGATTCAGAGGAGTTGACCTGGTTGGTGCGTCAGAAGCGTTGACCTAACAGATATAAGAATATCAATGGCTATATCTTGAAGCGATTGAAGTATCTCTGAGGGTTACATCTCCAATTCCGTCCACAACGAACGACATCCCTAAATGTGTTGTCGCAATACCACAGATGGACCTTGTATGGGTGTCAGATCTTTGTTTAGCTCTTCTTTACAGCCAAAGCTCAGAAACCTTTAAGTATAAAGAGAAGCACCTACCATCCTGCAGCACCTCCTCATCTGATTTGTCTTTATCTGTTGTGTAGTCCAGTGTGTAAGTCAGCCCATTACAGCCACGCGTTCTCACTCCAACCTTCAAACCGATCTGATGACAGACCAAACACAAGTCAGCATCTGCTTTTGTCGCCACATTTTCAACAGAAAATGTGTGTAAATCTAAAGGTGTAAGGGATCTCAATCAAATCCATATGTTGACAGAGTAGAAAGGTCTTTGCATTTTCTGTGATATCGTTATATATTCCTTAAAAACATTAAACTTCCCTGTTGGATTTATTGCAAAAGCTTTACTCAGTAAATCAAGAATTTGTTTGGAGGCTCCGTGTTGTCTTTGTGAACAGAATGACATCAACAGTTCACTCCAATATTCAATTTGTCAGTGTCGCTGCTGTCTCCTTCCTCTTAACAATTATTATATTTGTGGCTTAATCTTTAATATTTACTTAATGAAAATTAGTGCCAAAACAAGTTCTAATTGTCAAATAAGGGAGCACTGTCACTGTGTGCCTACAAATGAATTATCTCTAAAAAATATAGAATAGATGGTATTTGTCGCAAACAACTTAAAACAGCACAGAAGAGACACAAACTTCATTTTGACAAAAAGTTTCTGATGCTGACGGACATGTCGGTTACTCACATATTCTGGTTTGTCTTGCAGCAACAACCTGATCTTGCTCACAGCCGCTGGAGTCTAAAGAAAAGACAACAGAGAATCAAACATCGCACCGCATAGCAACAGTGTCTCCTGGTTTTAGCTGGGAGCTGTTTATTTTTAAACACTATGACTTCTTGGAAAGGGGGGTTAGCATGATGGTGTGTCGAGTTCGTTTAGGTCTCCTTGGCTGTTTTCATTGCATTTATTCCATTGAGAAAACACTGTAACGGGGTCTGTGACCTCTGCTTGTCTGAAATACTTGGTAATGTGTAATGAAATCAACATGTGTCCGAACATGTTCTAATGGAACTGAGGGCATATTAGTACAGGAACAAGAGATCCCAAAGTTTAGGCTCTCATGTAGAGGCATGTGGGAGCCTGAGATTAATTACTTAGACCAGGAGGAGGTAATCTCTTAAAACCACCTGTATGTGTTGCCATTCCAAGTGTGAGAAAACACCAGTTGTGACACATGAGCTGCTGCATAGTTGCACTGAGAATCATGTTTTGCACTAATTATACTAAACAGCAGTCATTTCTGAACAATTATCCTGAATGATCGTCTCTTGCATTAATTGTTTAAAACTTTAATTACACTACACATTGCATGGCTTAATTAGAACGCTTTGATTGCATCTATTAAGTTATTACAGTGATGACCACTCAGACAGGCCAAAGAAAGTCAACTCAAAGGATCGCTTCCTGCAGTGCTGCGTCACGTTTGCTTCAGCCTACTTCTTTTATCAAGTCCACACAAACACATTATCTCACAGCAGCACTGTTTGCTAAGCCCACCAGCTGATATTCCCCCTTCGGCACGTTTCCCACCCACCCCTAACAGCACACCGTGACTCAGCAGCTCACTTCAGCCTATTCCACCACCATCCTCACACCGCCCGCCGCCGTTATGACGGGGTGGCGTTCAACAGCAGTTAACCTCCTGCTGGTTAAAAATACTGGTGTCACAATAACTCAGACCATCAAACCTAAACAACTATAAATATGTTTTTCTTTTAAGAAAGCTGTATGGCTTAGAAGCACAAACCTTTATAAGCCTTGTCCTGTGTCGGACTGTTAGCTAACTTAGCCAACTTACACAACTACCACCCTGTCACGGCCTGCTGACGTGAACGGAACAGTCTTGAAAATACAAAGTTCACCACAAAACTGAGAGAACTCTTTCAGCACTGAACCTAGGTGCTTAACTTACCAGCGTTAACGCAGCTCTTGTAGGTAAAATCTTTCTTTTATTGACCGCTCGGACGGTCGCTCTCACCAAGGAGGCAGACATGTTGACAATGTTAAAATCACAACAGAGAACTGCGCAAGCGTGGACAAAAATGGTGAACGCCCCCAGGAGATGATTGGCTGTATGTATGACGGACATTTGAGGTAGCCATTGATATCACGGGTACAAATCTGGAAACGTACTGTTATATAACCTTTGTAATAGCACTTATGTAGCTGCAGGATAGCATATAAAGCAAGTTTCCGTATTTTTATTGTATGTAAATATGTGTGCTAATTTGCGTTACTGTTTCAGACTGTTTTGCCAATTATTCCCCGGACAAAGAGCCAAACACAAAGCCTCTTGGCTTTCAGCGTTTCTGGAACTCTGTGTCCCCATCTTGGCCCATTTCCTCCCCGCCCCGCCCTCCTAAATGTCCTGACAGCCGGAGCAAAAACAGTAGACACATACAAGTCGTTTTTTGAGCATCTCATCAATAATTTATTTTTAGCTTTTCGAAAAAAAAAATACAACGTAAACAAAAGCCTACACATTCCTTTTCAAATCCTTCTTCTTTATTAAAGATAAATAACTTTTTTTTGTTTGGTACAAATGATGTCATTGGACCTAACCTTTCAAATCTTAATAAAAATATTACGTGTAGCAAACCATATAGCCTAACAAGTTACTCCTGGCACACGATCGTGACCTTTTTAAAGCCACACTTGATGTGTGGATGAGATTTAAGTGCGTTCTCGTCACATCCTCCAAATTTAAAGAGCTGGAGCTAGAGGAAGAGTAAGAAGACTTACCAAATGTTATACAGCTGTTGCGGAAACGAAAGTTTCCTTAGTAAGTCTAATACCAGTGCTGTATTGAATGTGCTAAGATTAAGCTTCCTTTATACAGTTTTTAAATACAGTAAATACATGGCCATTTTTACAATCTGAAAAAAATTATTATTTTTAGTGAAGTAGGAAACATTAAAAATATCTAGATTCACGTTCAAAGTTCCACCTGGTTAGGAGTGGCAGCCTTTATTTTGTTTTTCGTTTTGTATTTGGTTATTTTTGTCGCTGAAAAAAACATTCTTGCATTAGAAAACACATACAAGTCTAATATCTAGATATCAATGAAATACTCAACACTGAGATTAAACTTCTGTTTAATGTTTCTGAGACACAAAATGGATTGCAAGCCAACCTCTCCAGACAGGATGAAGTTTCATATCAAATGAAAACTCTCAATTGAGTCCATCAAAAGAAATAAAACAAGGCTGGCATCAAATCAAACCTGCATTCAAATGAAAAATTGATTAGAATACCAGCTATTTTTTTCCTCCTTTTTATAAAATGCTAAAACATTGCAAAACCATAAAGGCAGACAGTCCATTTTTAAAGTTAAATGAAAAGCAGGTCTTTGAGACACAACAAACAGCAACGTAATTCAAGGGTGTGGACCCTCACAGTGCAGCTACCAATCTGTGGCACCATTATTATAAAATGAAGAGATAGGTACAAGTTTTTACATGTGAGCAGTGTTCGTACCAGTGTTTGCCATCAGCCAGAAAATCTTACCATGTGTAGCATGAAACCTTTTAAGCAAACATCCTAATCTGTGTATTTGCACATTACATTTTCTCCTACATGTGGAGACAAATGGAGTGCCACTCGGTCCTTCTGTTCACATTTAGGGGGCGGTGAGAAAGAAGTGGTCGGTAATAAAACATGGATCGGAACAGATAAAATTAAAATAAAAACTAAATACTTTGAGAGGGGAGGCATCAGCATGAGGACGTGTTCTCAACAAAGAGAAATAAACTGACTGACGCCAGTGCAGAGGACATATTCAATTCAGGAAAAAGAACAAATAAATCCTGGCCTTGACACAAAAGGCCACACTGCCATTCGGACATTATATTTAGTACATTTTGCTAAAACCAAAAGCAACACCTTAACAGCTCGGGAAAACGATAAACAGGTGAACTGAGTTACTCTTCAGTCTTAAAATTGTTGTGATGTCACTGACTAACTGAAGCATCAAAATACATCTTCTAACTGGAAGGATTGTTGTGACTTTGTTGTGTGTGGGCAACACAATGTCTTTAAAATATTCCTTACTGAGATCAATAATAAAAGAGAATTTGAGTTTTAATTTCCAAAAGTTAGTTGAATATCAATAAATCTATATCCACCAATGCACCCCCCCAATCCCTCTTAAAAACCCCAACTGGCTCAGTAGGTACAAAGACATCAGATACATGCATGATGACTTGCCTTGTTAAAACAAAAGCTTTAAAAAAGCTCCTTTGAAAACAAAAACTCTGGAGGGGGGCACACCACACAAATAAAAAGGCCCTATTTGGCTTCAAGTTAAGGTGTCCAGGCTTTGGCTTAGAGAGACTCCCGTTGGCCCAACAGTACCACTCAGATTTAAGGTATTCCAGACTTCGGGGTCGTGTCTGTGTGGACAACAGTAGAATCTCCCGCTCGGCATCCACTGCTGCTGCTCATTCCACAGGGCTCTTCCTGTGAGCGGGCCGACCCATATTTCGGCAGGCTAAACTACCTGAGACACACCAGAAAGCAGATGATGACATTTGTGACAATCTAAATTAAGTGGAAAATTAGGGCACACTGCCTGAGTCCTGTTCATGAGAACGGCTTTATTTTTGCTGCTTTATCAGGTTACAAATCCTCAGTGGCTTTCTAAAATACATGAGATAAAAGAAGGATCAAAATGCCACTTGTTACATAAAATGTCAGGATGCTTGCATTCCAGAGTCCATACAAAAGGTGGATGGGCCTAAGGTTGGTGGAAAAATGCCCTTCTCTCATTCTCTGTCCTCATCTGCCCAAAAGAAGATCATTTATGCAGAACAAATTAACTGGATCAATTCCTCTTTGTCTAAAAATTAATAAACATGAGATGGCACATTTGCGTTATATCAGGAAAATATCTGTCAGTCAGGACAAAAACTGGACTCTTAAAGTTTATGTAAACCATTAGTCTGACCATCTCTGTATGTTTGCACCCAAATGGACTCAAATAAGCCTACAATAATAATAAAAATAATACTAATAGAGACTGACAGAGGTTGTGACTGATAATCAGTTCTCCAAGACTGCAGCTGTCACTTACAGAATCTGCCGACTGTATATCTGCTCAAACAAATTCCTGACTTTACCACTGCAGCTTTAGACCAAAATGAAATGATACTCGCCTATCAGATAGGTGAGTATGATATATTTTGATTAAATGGGTGTGGGTTCTTTAAAATACTCAGTTATTACATGAAAAACATTGAGGTGATCTTATTCATTTGAGTTTGAGGCTTTTTTCCAGTTGTATAAAAAATTAAATCTGAATTGGAATACCTGCTTGTGGACCTAATATCACATTTTGCTGCTTTTTTCTTTTCTTCTCTTCTTGTGTGGGCAAACCCTGCAAAGAATCATCATCAGTGGGATTCTGCGAGGCAGCGTAGAGAGCATTCTCTCAGATGTATAAAGAACCCATTAACATATCAGGCCTTTTGTCTGGGGTGAACATACCTGTTTCTCCTTTTCTCTCAAATTTCTCATGTGGGCTGAGGGGGAAGAGGAGAAGTTTTCCATCCTATCCACCTTCACATTACCTGCACCGAGAACCAGTAAGAAAAATTACTTCCGTATATTTATACGAGGACAGTAAAAGTATTGCAAGTCCCAGTTTCAGGTTGAAATCAAAGAGTGCACCTGTAGTGCTTCTGTAAAGCTGGCAGTCCCTCTTGATGTGGGCGCTCGACCCACATAAGAAGCAGCAGCGCGTGTCCAGTGCATCTCTTTTCCTCCAGTGTTCGTTCCTGTGCCTGACCTGATCCCGGGCTTCCTCAGGCATGTCCATTTTGTCTCGCTGGTTCTCCGACCTTCTCTCCGAATCTCTTCTGTGTTTGGCCCTGCTGTGAAAGCATGTGGTTTGTCACGTGGCTTGCCAGTAGCCTAAGTAAGAAACACTAAAGAATTCAGACACGCGTGCTCCTCGTACTCACTTCCTACGCATGGGGCAGTCTTTCATGAAGTGGCCGATCTTGCCACAGATGCGGCAGCAGCGGTCATTGGGAGCCACTTCGCCCTCAGTGAGAACTTCAGGATCAAAGAAATACTCCTGTGACAAATGCAGGCAAATTTCAAAGTCAGTGCTTGGATAGTAAAAGTACTATTAAAAAAAAAAGTTTAGAAGCGAATCCTGACCATGTAACTGGGATATACTGGAGGCAAAACTTTGAGAGGCGTGCCGAACACAGTCCTTCCATTAATGAACGCTTTCATGATGAAGTTAGTCACTGTTTGAGAGGGAAAAACGATCACGTGTGAGGGCAGGAAAGTAAGAAAAAAAAAGTTTAAAAAAGACATCGAAAGAAGTGTATGATCATACTTTTCCTAGACAGACCAGCACCCAAGTTGTGATTCAGGTCAAATGGATCTGTCATGAATACAAAGAACAAACAGCAGGAAAACTTAAGTTATGTGTTGTTTTCTTTTTTAATAGCACAGATTTGAGTGCCACTCGAGCTGACCTTCAATGACTATGTATTTGGAAGTCCACTGCTTGTTGAACGTGGTGAGGCGGGCGTGCTGTCGGATACACACGACGTGCTCTTTGAAGTCAAAGTCCTCGGTGTAGAAGCGGAGCAGGCCCAGCCACAGCTCCCCCACCGACTCCGAGTTCTTCCCATAGTGCGGCCAGCGACTGGGCTGCGGGCGGAGGACCAATGAGAAATACAGGGCAGAGCGCCATGTTTTTCCTGACTGCAGGTACACACACACACACACACACACACACACACACACACACACACACACA